TTTTTTTTTTTTTTTTTTTTTTTTCCGTTTATGTTTTTGATTTTTTTTTAAATAAAGAAAGACTTCAAAAAATAAAATAAAAAATACAAGGTTGTAGATCTAAAAAAGATCTACAACCCTGTATTTTTTGTTTTGTTTTTTGGTTATTTGTTTTTGGGGAAACAAATTCTCCCGCGCCCGCTCAAACACCGCTCAAGCGCTTTTGAGCGCGGGATTGAGCGGAGCTCAAAAATTTGAGCTCCGACCCCGCGCTCAATCAGTGCGCGGTTTCACAGGCCATAACCGGTAATCTTGAGGTTGTGTCAGGTATCGATCTCTTGGCTGCGACCTATTCTAGGTAAGTGACCGGACCGGAGACAAACCCCATATTCTCAAATTTATTCTGGAGTGCGGCCAACTCGGCTTTCACCCTGGCTAGTAGTTCCAAGGAGTCTCCATCTTTTGAGTGATCCTCACTTTCTAGAAAGCTAGCGGCGAATTTCCACTCCATTTCTTCTGCCCCATCCATAATTTGTTGCATCGTATGGTTGACGGGGGAAAATTGCTTCCGTACTTTTGCCCTCAACACTCGACTGCGAAGCCCATCGATGAATAGATCTCTCCCAACCTTCTCGTCCCTCTCAGATTTGACAAATATTCTATAGAACCTACTGCGATATTCTGTAACAGATTCAAGAGGTTTCTGAACTCGGTCCTTCATCATAAAGAAAGCTTGTTCAGGGTGGATATAGTCGAACTTGTTCAGGAAGTCTCTTTCAAAGGTCGGGAGATCTATCCAGGCGTAAGTGCTAAACCAGTGATGTGCATCCCCTCCCAATCTGGCGGGGATGTTGATCCGAGCTTCGTTGTTGTCATATTGTTGTGCACGTAAGGTAGCTAACCATGCCCCGACCAGATGGTGTGCAGGGTCGAAGATGTACAAATCAGGTGGAGTCGCGGGCCCACGAGCTCGGATGGGTGGCGCGGGAACAGGGGCCCCGCCTGGCTGTATATTGACGTTTTGTGCTTGATTGGCGTTCATATTGGCGGTCGGTCGTCTGACCGATCAGTTTCTAAGTATTATAGGATCGCGTCGCGGCGCGTTCCGCTGTCTAGGCCGCCCTCTGTTCGCCAGATCGTTTTGTGAGACTTATTTACTTGCTTCTCTTATGAGCTCGCCACGTGTCGGCTCCGATACCAACCTCACGCCCAACGCGACTTCCTGATCGGAGTGGGATGGAGGCCTGGAAGTGCGAAAAAAGGGGTGTGCCAAGGATTTTAGGAAAGTGGGGGCTGAGTCCCAGGTCGGAACTGAGATCTCCTGTGGGCAGCTCTAGGGACAACGGTGCAAAATGGTACGTGCGGATCGTATCTGGCGTTTCCGCCTTCGCTGAGGAAGCTATGGCCTCTGCCAGTTGCGTCGTCGCGATCGGTCCCTTATCTGGTGGTTCGGTGGGACACCGTGGCCGTCGGGTTGGGCGGACAGTTGTCGGCGCCGCTCGTAACAAGCTTCCGATTCTGAGGAGGCGGGTTGTAAGCAGAGGCTGTGTATTCGCTGCTCTGCTTCGGTTCGGGCTCGTCGGGTGAGTCCCGAAGCCCGGTATGCCCGGTACTGCTGACAATCCTCACACAGTGGGCGGGGCCAATAGCGAGCTATAGAATTCCACGGTACCACTGTGAGCTGGCGATATGGAAGGAGGAGATGGAAGGGAAGAAAACTGACAGTAATAACGACGAAGCCCAGGGATATGCAGTACTGAGTATTGTCCGTATTTGGATAGTCTGGTCCCCAAGGATCGCGAGTTATAGCCCAGTGGAAATCCCCCGCGCACAGTCTGTCGTTCTCCGACAAACAAGGGAATTCAAGGTTTCTCAAGTTTCCCCGTCGTCTGAGTTGTTCGCCTTCCCAGTACTCGCGATACTCCGGGTCCCTCAGGCTCTCACGATCGGTGCTCCCAAAGGGACTGTTCATAGCCATATCCGGCTAGCGAATTTGGTTTCTCGCATCCTGATGGTAGTTTTTTAGGTCGACTCATGTAGACGCGTGCGTACACTGCGACTCGGTTTTCTTGAAGTCGCGGTCATAGGTGAGCGTGCACATGAGCGAAAGCGAGAAAGACTCGGGCTTTTTGTGTCGAGGTAGCGGGGATGTCCTACATGCATGCAACTATCCTATCCATACTAGGTTGGGCGAGATCTAGGATTCATGCTATTCAGGTGACGAAGGGAAAGGACGATAAGCGCATCATAGCACTCTGATAACGATCGAAGACTAACGATCAAACAAAAACATCCATAGCGAGTGATTTCAATCAAATAGAGATGATTTATATAATTAAACAGACATCGCAAAACAAGATCGGAAATCCGAAAGGATCATCAATGAAAAAAAGTTCACATTCATTCCATGCATACATGTGAGACAAAAGTGATGGAGAAAAGTCGAGACAATTTACAAGGAAAAGTCAAAAAAGGCCGCAACAACATCGGTCGTAGCAGAAACCAAAATTATACAGATAAGCAAAAGGAAAGAACCTCATCCCACTCGCAACTGCTCTATCTCTTTCTCTCTCTCTCTACATCCCCCGATGCGGGCAGTCCGTCGCCTCGCATCAACACAAAGTTGTCACCCCGCTTGGTCCGAGCATGCAAGTCAGATTCGCGTGTGCGCCACAGTCCGTCGCGGCCTCGCACGTCAACCCCGCATACCTGACACCAGCTCGTCGGATCGCCCAGCTCTCTTGTCGACTCACCTCTCATGCGGACTCGTTAGCCGACCCTCACTAATTGCGCTAACTCCAAAGTTCATAGAGAGCAATCTAGTCACGCTTGCAGAATTTATAGCATGCATGCTTGCGCGAGAGATACGGGATTAGGCCTAAGTGAGAAGGGGGGGGGGAAGGAGGAAGAGACTACGTTTTGCATGGCCAGGCCGCGGCGTGGGGGACATGGTCACTCTCCACACATCGATTTGAGCATGCAACGCCTTGGCCAATCAGGTCATAGGGAGGCGCATGCACATAGCCTGGGAAAAGGAGGCGGGAAGAGGACGAGAGCAAGAAGAGATGCAGTTACAATTGCGCCCACCAAAATTACAATTATACGCAAGATTAAGGGTGCGGTCCAGTCAGAGCCCGGTTCCTAGCACGGCTAATCGCGCTGTCGAGCGCATCGGTCCGGCACCGCACGGGGCAGCGCGGGACTCTCCCGGCCGCGTCACGCAGGAGTTGGACTAATTCCTCGTCGCGAATATACATGGAGCTTCCATAAGCCGCTCCGGCCGAGTGCGCCAGCCATACCTCTCGCGAGCCCCTACGAGAGGATAGGGCCTATGCGAGGCACAACTTACCTACACCTTACGGGAGCTGTCACCTCCCTTCGGTGGGCGTATCCCCCCCGAGCTACCAGTCCACAGTACGAAAGCTAATCAGTTGCAATCGCAGAGGTGGACCAGCCGAGGGCGTTTCTCGTTCGCTGTAGCATAGGGGGTACGCGCGGTAATACGTCTCTATCGGACCCATACGGGAACCGACATTTTGGGGGGCTGAAGTCCTAAGCATGGCTCGTCGTCGGTCGACTAGGACGCATCCCACACACCACGCGCATACCACTTTACGAATACAATAATAAAACCCACACACACATATACGAGGCAACACAATATAAACAACGCGACAACGCTCCTAGCCCCTCGGTGTCACGCACGAGACTTAATATAAATCCTTGCGGACGGAGGGCAGACTCATATCGACTTGCCATGCAAAACGTACGCAAGTGATCACAATGATGGCGGGCCATGTGGTACCCAAACTCACGCGGTCCCCGTTAATCGCGAGGGTTGCGTTCGACACTCAAGTGTCGACTGACGCGCGCCTTGAGGGTTAATCTCTCGACGTTGGACAACCGCCATGCGCGGTTGAAGACCACTCCCTCTTCTGCACCTTGTGCAGAGGGGTTGAGTAGACAGCTTTGAGCTGTCGTGGCAGTCGAACATCAAGGGGTTTGACTTTGACGGCTGCCACGGACTATAACGTCCAACTATGAAAACTCCAAAGAGCAAACGATAAGGAATAGGCCGAAGGCTTCCCGCTTAGTAAACAAAATCATAGTCCTGGGGTACCCTCCCTTTTTCGCGCGGCGTTGGCGACCTATAACAATTTCAAACATTCGCCCATATGTGTCGGTCCCCTTGTAATCCCATAACTTTTTACACACTAGGGCGGTAGGACGTCGCGCGCGGGATTTAAGTATAAAGTCGCGCAGCCGAGGACCTATCTCATACCAACCCGCAATGCAGGCGTACGCATGCAGTCGCAACGATGGCGTACTATGTAGTGCCCATAGTCAGGCGGTCCCTCGTGGATCCGGGTACCGCTTATGACACTCAAGTGTCAGACTCGAGGTGTCGTGAGGATCTAATCCTTCACGACATTGCACGGTTGAAAGAATAGTCGTGCAGCCGCCGTGAGACCTCCGACCTTTGGTCTGAGCGTCTCGATAGGCAAGGCAAATAGGCTCTACGCGGGGGCAGGTTCCTTCCCTGCAGAGTCTAGGGCTTGGGATGTCCTGGACAAGGACCTCGAATCCCGACCCAGGACTAACGTCCGACTATAAAAATCTCTAAAAAGCAAAGGTAAAAAGAGAATCCCCCCTTTTCTCTCATGGCACAATCTGGTTAACCCTTATGCACAATCACAGTGGTCTCTCAAAACACTCAGGGCACTTATGAATATATAAGGGTTAACGTTATGGGACGATCACTTCTCACAGTCACAATGGGGCTCCTCTCTGCTATATATATATATATATTTATGTGAGCGCAGACAGTCAAATCCCAAGTTCGAATCACCAAGCATACCTGCAATCACATCAAAGATTCAACCAAAAGGTCCACGCACTACACGGGGTCAACCCCAATAATCTTCAACACTCGTACCCATCGCTTTAGCCATGCAAACCCCAACCTTCTTTCCAACCCACCTTAATTAAATACTCAGTACCTTTGTTATATGGCCATTCAATAAAAGTATGGGTGAAACCTTAACGAAACAATGAAATCACCAGGGCTAAAGCCTTTTAGGTTGAGTGTGGAGGGCGAGTTGGAATCGAGTCGTAGACCGACAAATCGGCAACCGACCTGTTATCAATGATAACAGAAAGTGATCCTCAAGGGATCAAGCTGGATTTAGCCCTGAACTTGAATCAAATGATTAAAAAAAAAGACTTGTAGCACACGGCAGACCAATCCCCAAGCTACGATCATAAGTGTATGGAGAATACAACTCCATAATACATCCTCACTCAAAATCTCCCTATAAGCTAAACTTAAGTCTACCTCTAAGCCAGTGCTTAAGCCAAAGGTAGACCAATTGCAGAATCTTCCCTATTCAAGGCGGGTCGCCTGAATCGCCACCTGTCAAAATATAGTCTATCTCCTCTAAACTAAGAAAATTTTCGGCAGCGCTTCCCGTAGGAAAAGTGTCTTTCCAGAATTTGTATAAGCTTAAATATGAACGCAGAAATAATCTCTAACTCTGGAAAGTTAAATTTTGTCTAACTTCCTGAATTAGCACAAATTTGGGCAGCATTCTCTTCGGAAAAGGAGACTTCCTGGATTTTAACTAAGTCATGTATGAACTCCAAAGACAGTCTGAGTTCAACTTTTAGGCAGAATTTAACGAGCTCCTTAATTTTGTAGAAATTTCGGCAGCATTCCCTCTACAAAAGTGTCTTTCCAAAATTTATACAAAACTAAGTCCAAAGTTTGAAAATAACTTTGACTTCCTAAAGTTCTATTTTGTCTAACTCTCTGAATTAGCAAAAATTTGGGCAGCACTCCCTTTAGAAAATGAGACTTCCCATATTTTAACTAAGTCATATATGAGACAAAACAAAACTGAACTTTTGACAAGTCACAATTTAACTAACTCCTCGGATTTGTAGAAATTTCGGCAGTGCTTCCCGTAGAGAAAGCAGCTTGCCAAGATTTATACAAAGCCAAGTATAAGAAAAAATTTCAGAAAATGCGGGAATTGACCTAAGGAAATAAAAAATACTACAGAAAATGCAGGAATTGAAACTAACTCCTATCTCTCCAGCACGTGGCGAGCATCTAAAACAACTACCTATAAAACTGAAACTCATACTAGGTAGTGATCTCACTCAGCCACATGC